GGGAAAGAGAGAGAGAAAAATAATTAGCTTACCCGTTTTAAAAGAAAAAATGGGCGCACAAAATTACATTTGTTAAATTAGAGCAAGAGTAATTTAGGCCATTGGTGAACCCTTTAATCAGCAGCACCATTAAAGTCAAGAACAGTTTATTCAAGACATTTCAGAAAAAGCTTGCTTGACAAACTGCAGATTTCTAATCGATAATAAAAAGAAAGACCAAGAAAATGCAACTTATCAAACAAAACCATGGGGAATGGAGAGGGGGGAAAAAAAACCAACAGTTGCAAATCCTGGGCAATCTTAAAAACTGAAGTAAAATCCTCTTTCAATAGCTATATAGTTAAGAACCCTTAAGGAACGCTTTCAGCTACAATAACCACGCTTTATACTTTACAGAGAAACGTGGAAGTCACACCACAGATCATCACTCTATGACTTGCTTTCAATTTTTTTTCCATCATACTTGAAGAAACAACACTGATAATATTTGCAGAAAGTGCATGATTATCCATTGTTTTATAATCTGAATGAACAAAAAGCTCAGCTTCACTTTGGTCTTCAGTTAGGGTTTTATTTGACTCAAGTTAGAGTTTCTTTAATATAAAAAGAAACAAAGGGGCAGGGGGGAACCAAAAAAACTCTGAAGTGTTATACATTTTCCATTTTATCAGGCTTTAGCCTTCTGATTTGGAATTTTTGCTCAACACGTTCAGGGCATTTTTTTTTTTTTTTTTAATTATGTGATAATACTGAGGGAAGGGAATGGGAAAAATATTCTGACTGCTAAGGGGTCCAGTAACAATTACGATAAACCCTCTTGACAGTAAAAAGAGAGCACAGTTTTCACCTCTTCTTCCAATATTCTCAGCCATCATCATTAGCCTAGCTCCAGGAGAGCTGAGCAGCTATGTTTTAATCCTTTTAGCTGTGAATAAAGAAATTGGTACTAATTTAGACTGTTGAATACACAGCCCTGTTTATTTCACAAAACAAACAAGTTTTCCTTCGTTCTTAGAACTACTACATTCACATTCACCGATTCTTATTCTGTCTTCTGGCTATTTAATTAATAAGCTATATTATGATGTCTGAAGCCACACAGCTGGAAGGGGAGGGAAAAAGCCCGAGAAGCTCTCTCTAGTAAGTTCTATAAGCCTATAAAACCAGGATATTTTGGACAGCATGTTATATGCTGTCCCCCTTTAAGTCCTTCCAGTACCTAAAGGGGGCCTACAGGAAAGCTGGAGAGGGACTTTTTACAGGGGCATGTAGTGACAGGACAAGGAGCAATGGCTTTAAACTGAAAAAGGGGAGATTTAGATTAGATCTAAGGAAGAAATTCTTCACTCAGAGGGTGGTGAGGCACTGGACCAGGTTGCCCAGAGAAGTTGTAGACGCCCCATCCCTGGAAGTGTTCAAGGCCAGGTTGGATGAGGCTTTGGGCAACCTGGTGTAGTGGAGGGTTCCCTGCCCATGGCAGGGGGGTTGAAACTAGATGATCTTTGAGGTCCCTTCCAACCCTAACCATTCTATGATTCTATATTAGAACAAATTCAGCTTTATGTCTAACCAAAAAATGTCTGAAAAAGTTTTCTACAATTTACAGTGCCTAACAGTACATTATTTTTATAAAAGGCATTGCTACATGAATTTGCAAGTCTTGTACTTGACTTTGTGTTCAGAAACTTCAGAGCATTCTCAAAAGCTTCCCCATCAGCTAGTAAAAAAAAAAGAAATATTCATACTGTTTGAAATTATATATCTACTGTAGGATCCTTGCAGCATAACAAAGTAGGGAGTGATTCTCCCCGCTCCAGTCCAACAAAATCAATTTAGAAAATTGTAACAAAGTAGATCACAAATTAGAGTCATTACCCTGCTACTGTGTTACTTATCACACATCCCTACTTACTTGATCAGACCAATTCACTTTTATCAGCTTTACTACCTACAGAACAGATTCGCGTAGCAACAAAAGAATTGGTTAAGGTTTGTATGTGCACAAGTATTATGATGCTCTAGCTAGAATAAAATATGCTCTCAAGTAAATGAAGGCTTTATGAGAATACTACTTCTAGGATTAAAAAAATTAGATGTTTTAAGATTATTCAAGTATTTCAGTTTATAAGTGTGATTTTCAAATCTCAAAGGTTTCATGGCCACTTCATTTAAGAAAAGCAAGAAGAAACTCCAGCACATAGAAACGAAAGAGTTACTGAAGTTCAGACTAAAAATTTGACAGCGACATACACTCTTTTTAACATTCCATTATACCATTATAGACACGTATTGTCCATTCTGCGCCCTAGGCCTCAGCTACATTCAACACAAAAACTACAGCTTTTATTAAGAGTATAACATGATCCTGATGTTTTCACCTTAGCCATTAGTTGTAGTTTGCAGAAAAGTGGTCTGCCACAGAGCACTCAGCAAGCTGCGCTTACTTACCTGGGTGCAGATACTAGGGAGACAGAGTGCCAGCTTGACCATATCAGGAAGAATGGACTGGAACAAATGTTGAGCCTCTGCATCTTCAAGAACCTGTTAAAAAAAAAAAAAGAGGGGAAGAAAAAGAAAAAAGGCTTTTTACTTCAGAAATAACGATGGTACAAAAAGTTTGTGAAAACAGGACTCATCCAAAAGAAACGAGAAGAAAAAAGGTCCTATTAGTTTCATGCAACTCTGTAGCATTTTTCATGGTAGTACCTCACTGCATTTTACCTTGCAACAATCCTCTAAATGAAATACAGAAACAACTCTCAAGAGTTGTAGCTGAGACAACATGTCACCAAACGTCCTATAAAGAAACCTTGAATAAGTTATCATTTGACTCTTTCCAAAGCAATGAACTGAATTCTCAACTGATAAAAATCACTACCTAATCACAAAATACTGGAATGATGTACTTAACTTTCATATTCAGGTCACAGTCCAAGACAAGTATCTGTGACATTCTCCTGTTAAGGACACATGAAACACACTGCTGGGTCAGATCAGTGGTCCTCAGCAGCAGCAACAGGAAATGCCATGTAAGAAGAGCATGCAAGCCTGGGCACTTTGTGCTGTCCACCCCTCATCATGTTCCCTTAAGAACTACAGCTGTTGGATTACATATGTTAAAGGGTGCAGCCTGCCTGGTCTCACATGCTGCAGTTGCAATCTTTTCAGTCTCTTCCTGTAAGACAGCCGATGCCATGACTATTTTAGCTGCCCCTCTCTACCTGCTCTAACATTCTTCCTGAGAAGGAGAGAAGAGAATCAACAACATTCAAAAAAATGGGCCATTCAAAAAGAAGTCCATGTATTCAGAGGAAGTCCAGGATCTCTCTTCTAAGTGACAACTGCCGGTTCCAAGCTCAACGTCACGTATGCAGGGTTTAGATGGACCCACCCATACTCCCATTCATGTATCATACACCTACTTTTAAAAGGCGCAGAAGTTTCTTTATGGTGGGCAATGCTCTAAAAGAAACTAGGATAGACACATGAATGGGAGGTTGTGAAAAGAACAACATAAAGCAGTGTAGCTGCAATACACAAAGCAGCACAAAAGCATGCCAGACCCTTGAAAAACTCACATTCTGCCATATGTACGGGCTGAAGTAAGATCAAGGAGAGAAAAGAACATTCTCCATCTTGCTGTGCAGTGATACAGTTTTTCCCCTGACCTCAGGATCCAGGCACCAGATGTGACTGGCTGTTAGACTTGCAGACTGCGCTTAAGGCAAAAAGCGGACAGAAGAGAACACACAATTTGCACTATAGCTGGGGAACGGAAGACAAAGGTCACAGCTCAGCCTTCTGTCTCCCTCTTTCCCCTGCATCCAGAGAATCTGTATTCAAGACAACTACCTTCTACCAGTTTTCAGATTAAAATCATTAAAATTCTGAAACTGTGGCTTTAAAACTATAGAATGTTATTTTTCAAGTGAAACTGTTAGAAAATAATTCAATTTCCTATCAATTTCACACAAAAACAATAGCAGACAGAACAGACGGAAGAGCTTCAAGGTATTATCAACTTTACTCTCTGCAACACTTGAGACTAATTGTGAAATCACAGAAAGTGATCTTTTTAGTCATATAATCAAAGCTTTGTAATTCAGACTTCAATGGAAAGTTTCACACAGACTTCAGAACGTAAAAAAGATACTGGCAATTTTCTTAAGAGGAAAATACAGTGCCTCTGATTCAAAGTATATTGTTCCACACAAACGCCAAGCTGAAAACACTGTTTGAAGGCTAACAACTTCTTTTCTTCCAAGATCACTAAAATAACTACAGAAGTATCTCTGCTCTATTCTCTCCCACTCCATGTGATATAAAGGCATAAGAGTACTCAGGAAGTTAGAAGGCAAACACAAACAAATGCTCACAGGACAAACAACTTATGGCAGGGAAGGGAGGAAAAGAAAACAATCCCAATAACTACAGAGTTACTTTCCATGCATTATGCATGCTGCTCATGAAGACATACAAACAAGGTTTTAATTTAAAGTTTTAAATTGAAACAAGAACTTACAAAGAACAGCAAGCCTAGGAAACACGAAAAACAATTGATATAACAGAGGAGGAATCTAAGTACTATATAAATTATTACGGAAAGTCAACTTTTTTTAAGGTTAAGAAATGAACAAGATGCATCTCTCTCCTGCTGTTGGCTGCCTATGCACCTGCATATTTACACAGCACAAGTCAGATACTGAAAATTATGACCTAGCCTTTAACATCATATGCTCCAGCAGGAAATTTTGCTCTGTTCTTAGGCATAATGTTTTTAAGAGCCATAAAGTAACAAAATGAACATTTAAAGGCTGGAATTTCAGATCTCAACACATAAAATGAATATGTAAGTTAAATCTATTCAAAAGATGACATTTAACCTCAGATGTCTAGCAAGCTGTCAAATTCTGATATCCTCTCCCCTTCGGGTAACACTTCCTCTCTTTTAAAATTGACATATAAATAGTGGTTGCTATGCTTTGCTGACTGCCATGGACTATACAGTATCACTTATCTGGTGACACATTATGGCACTGGACTTTGTCACAGCTGTCAAGACTTCAACCTTTTCTTTATGCTACTTTGAAAACAATATAATAATAGTATGAGACAATTTCTTCCCAAAACAGAAGGAGGGCCAGCAATTGCACAGCTCAGCTCTAATATAAAATGAATACCTACAAAGTTCACTTCCTAAACTCTGAAATTCTACTTTTTCTTCTCCTTATCTTCCTAATGTTTTACCAGAATATGCTCTCCTCTCTACATTATTCCTATGCATGACTTTTACTAGACCTCCACTAATGAAGACTTCAAAATTTGTAGCTGTTAACGTCTAGAAGCACTCTGTAAGACTTCAGACAGATTATTCTCACATGTAAATGACAAATAAGGTGTTTGGGTTTTTTTTGTGAAAAGTGTTGAGTGCCATGAAAACCTTACTATATCTTCACGAGATAGGTCACTTAAAAGACTCCACAACTTTAAAAAGATGATCATTGTGAGTTCTAAGTTCACAGATCTTGCCAAGAAACTCCTAACTCTCCATCATTCTCTAATCAAACCATCAAGCAGCCTAAGCATCCCTGTTTTGAGTACTCTCCTATTTAAGCAAATGTCTAAATATTGCAGGGAACCACATCAATAGTTCTCAAGCTCAAACATAGTAAGTTTCTTACTGGAAATATAACTTTACTCACTGCAGCAGCTATTTTGTGATCTAAGAACTCTGTTGTTCAACTGCAGGTGCTGTGTTTTGTTAAAAAAATAACCACAAAAACAAACAAACAAAACCTTTCTCCCTAATAAACTTTCTCCCTAGAAATAACTCCTTGGTGAACTATTCAGTCCTGTGCTTCCCATTTATATCTTGGGGCTATAACCTATTATTAAACAGTGGCAATAAGCCAGAAACATGTATCCTTTCTTGCTTTAAGTTTCTAATACAACTAAGTAACTTGAGTCATGACCACATCCGTGTAATCGTAACTTCTCTTTTCTGTCCATGGACTCTTCCTTTACGGGTAACGTTTCTATGAGGTTTCCAGGAAAAGGAACGCCTGCAAACCCCTGGCTGTGTGGCCCTCATCCTCTTTTGACCACTAAGCCAGCATGCCACCACAGCTGCAGCTTTGTAGACCAACCACTGCATTGCATATTCTCAGCTATGCTCAGTGTAACACAGAGCCTGGTTTTATCTGTTGCAGTCTGTTTAGACTTTGAAAGCAGCAAAAAAGAACACTCAATCATGGAAAGTAAAAAGATTCCAGGATGCGGACTGCTGACACCGTAGCTAGATCTGACAGACATCCCACGATGCAAACGCCAACCTGGGAAAACCTAGCAACAGCACAGAGAATACCTGGTCACAGAACTGAATGAAGATTTATTTAGGAGAGAATTCTCTTCAGGGAGCAGCGACTTGTACTGATGTAAAATATGGCATATTTAGTCTCACATTACATAGTCTACTTATTTGTTGCTACTGGAAGAGGGATGTGTCATTCTGTTTCCTCAAACACACCCATCCACCCACCACTACATTTCACTAGCTCCCATGCTCATTTGATAATTTCCTGAGATACTTCAGCTTGCCAACACACAGAAAAAACTTGGGAGGGGCAGGTAGCCTTCCTCTGCATTAATGAGTTGAACCAGCCTACCAAAAAGTCATGCATTATTAGATGTTGTGCAGGGTGGGCGGTAGCTGAAACAGAACCAATTACACCCCTTGTCAATGGGCTATAAAGGCAGATAACAGTTGCAACTGTTCTCACTGAAAAAGCAGTAATATTCTAGTTAGTATGAACCTGTTAAAACCAGCACCTCACCTTGAAGTAAATCTCCTAGCACAAGAACATCTGTACTGATTCAGTCATGTGCTTTTAACTGTCTACAATCTTTTTCAAGGCTACAACTATGTAAAGATTAAGAGAAAGGATTGGATTTCCATTGTTAAAACAAAATAACCTTTGTTTTAGAACTCAAGGAATTCTAAAATATAAAATGGTTGTCAACAATTTTTGATAAAGGAAAATACATTAAGTATCATAGCAATTTTGTTTTTAAACAATTGATCATTTTTCTCCTTTCTTTATTATGCATACATGTCCTTTGCAGCTTCTTTCAGGATTTGAAATAAAAACAAAAATATATTGTTGACTTTATTCATAGTCCTCCAATCATGCAAAAAATTACTTAGGAATGAAATAAAAGCAAGGGTTATACCCCAAGGGAAAAGCATACGGAATCAGAGGTGCAAAGCATGACTTGCCTTTTGCCAAAGAAATCACTTGGCAATTTTATTGGTATTTGCAGTGGAGTGGCTGATTAAATGAGCATGACTTAGGGCCCAATTCATGAGACGCAAATGGTTCAGCGAGCCGCAGCAGAGGTAGGAGCTCTTGGCTAAACTTGCACTGCAATTTTGCAAAACGAACATTTATAGCGCAGCAGAGGCCTGACTAAACGCCGCCGTAAGTAATGGCCTCTTGTCGCTATAAACCAGTCCTCCAAAGCGTAATGAACGAGTACGCCTG